CCCCCAAGGCAATCTTTGGAGGTGGTCTGAGATCATCTTATAATGACTTGATGATGTGTTTGCTGTCACAGGTGCATGATGTCTGCAGCGCATTGAGGGGTAAACCATAGAAATAAACACAGGAGATTGATATTGGGTTGGAACAGGCCACAACTTTATTGATTACAGATGTAAGGAGGTTTGGCCAAGGCATATCTATGGATTGCTTGGGCTATGGATTGCAGCTAGTGAGACTGACTAATAGGTTTCAGTGCCTACAATATTCATTTGAAGTGAACTATAAATCTAACACTTCTATTAATGTGCACTCTGCTGTACAAAGAATGCTTCCTAAGCATCTCCATAAAACTTGAATTAATGTTTCTCCTATAAACCTTTAGCATTTCATTAAGATGAGGAAAAGTAAAGCAGAGCATGTCAGTGAAATATATTTCAAACCCTGGTAGAAGCTTTTGTTTCTCTACATGCATTTTCCTTTTTTTGCCAGCTTATCAGCCTATACCTGCACATTTCTTTTTATCCCAGAAAGATGCAAGCCAGCGAGAGTACTTGACATGTGTACCTTAACTGTTACCTTACACATTTTCTTGGCCATGGCCATCATATGCCTCTGTTAATAAAGGAAAAGGAAATGGTGAGGCCGCTTTCATTTAATCAATGAAGTTCAAGATGATCAACTGAACTCACACTCTTTAAAATGTGTGCTTGCATATTCTAAGAAAAAAATCATTTGTCAGTGTGCTATATCAGCAACCAGACAGAAGCCCATTCCACAGCAAGCAATAGCTGGTGGCAGAAATGCCCAATAAATATCTATGAAGTAAAAAATTGTGAGTACATTTGATGTTATAGTGCAGTACATTTTATGACCCAAGTTTTTGTAATGTACCTAAGGAGTGACTCAGAGGCTGCCATCTGGGGAAAAACGGGCCTTGTTCACATCAGTCTCTGAAGGTTACGACGAAAATGCTGTGGGTTCTTTCTTCCCATGAAACAGTCAAAAGGCCAATTTGAACACTGCAGCAGCTGAATTATGGAAGCAACTGAATGGAGGCTCCTCACTGCCAATGAGAAACCTACCCCACTGTTTCTTTGTTCATTCAGAACTGGACTCAGCAAAACAAGTTATTTTTCACCACAGCCAGACAACAGTCTGACTCGGAGCCTCATTGGGTTCTGTTGTGTCCCTGAAAATATTATTGAATCTCTGCCTACAAACGATGTAGCCATCACTAGAGCCAGAGAGCAGTAGCACCAAGGCCAGCAGGGGCCCACCAACCCCAATAATGCTACCAGATTTATCTGGATTTCCAGTATTAGAATTCACAATTTGCATGTCCCAGGTTAGGAGGTAGGGGGCCAATCCAAGCAGCCAACATCCCTTGACAGCTACTGCTTCAGCACTCTATCAGTCTACCCCTCCCTAATTACAACACATTCCCAGGTGCCACAGATGCTGGGAAATGCCTCTGTCACCTTGCTAAAGGAGCATTCCACAGGGAGAGGGGAAGAGAGAGTGAAGACTGTTTTTGCATTCTTATCTCTGCAGACAAGGAAAGGAGTGGGTGGAAGTGTGGAGAGGGAAATTTCCACAGACTTTGACTGTAATCTCAACTAGAGGAAAACTGTTGTAGGGCTGGTCTACTTCAGGTATAACTTCAAATATTTTTGAGTGAAGTCAGTTTGTTGCACAAGGATGCCAAATCAACTTTTATTATGCATCCTGGATTTTCCAGTAAGTGATTGAATCCCACCACAAAATAGTGGTAATCTGTAAGCAATTAAAATCCAAGCCAGAAAAGAATTTAGGGAAGTATGCCTGGGGTCAGCATTATATTTTTAATTCAATTCATTTATAAAAGTACCACCAACTCATAAAATTTCAGGGTGTTGCACAGCAATACCTATACAATAAAACATAAAACTCTACTTTTCAATAACATGACTAGGTATTTATTTTATGCTGTTTTTAGCTGATGAGATGATTTTATTGCTCTAAGATGGCAAAGACTCTCCTCCTGCAAGAGAGGGGAGTGGTTGTGGTCGGGAGCCGGACTCCGCCTCAAGCAGGGGGCGTTAGCCCTCTGCCTCCCACTCACCTGGCTGGCCTACGCCCACGGGCAGGCACCCAACCAGGTGCCTGCGAGGGGGCGTGTTTAGCAGCCCAAATTGCTGCGGCACCAGCCTTCCGGCCTCACTTTTCGTCGTCCCGTTGCGAATCACCCACCCTCCACTCCCTTAGAGCTCAGGGTCTCAGTTTTCTTTTGGCCTTGCTATGGACCTTAGGTTGGTTGCCCTGGTTGTCCGGGGGGCCTGGTAGGAATTTTTCCATTTGGCATTAGGCTTTTTGGGTTTTTTGCCTACCTCGTAGCAATCGTCACAACTTTCGTGGTATTGGTGGGTAGGTTAGGCATTGGAATAATGTGTTGTGGTGTGTCGAAGGGCTAGGTGTGGCCATCGCCTATGCCTTCAATTTTGGGTATTCCGTTAAAGGAATCTGGCGGTCGTGTATTCTGTCCAATGCCTGCTTGGCGGGAGGCCATGGCACGACCCTCGGTGACATCAGGGGAGAGCTTATAGTTGGATTAGCATCAACAGGCTCCACCTACTGGTGAATAAACCCCCCTGTTTTAGACTCACCCCTCTCTGAGGGGGTGGAGTCAGCTGACGTAATCCAATGCCTAAGCCAATACCTTTTCACTTGCTGTAATCAATAAAGTTGTGGCCTTTTCTTGCCCATTAACCTTATATCACGTGTCCTCGTGTTTTCATTCCACTACGCGGGGATCGGGTCCTCGAACCACAATCTGATGCTCTGTGAAATGGGGTCCTGTGGTCCATGGGAAGCTGTCTTACACTGAGTCAGACCATTGAGACATCTTGTGCAGTACTGCCGCCATTGTCTGTCAGCAACTCTTCTGGGTTTCAGACAGGAATCTCTCCCAGCCCCACTCGGAGACACATCTACAACTGAGCTACAGACCTTTACCAAAGAGATTGCATCTCTCTGTCTAATATGTGAGCTCTGTATTTGAAGCCCTGGCTCCGCCAGTGTCAGAACACTTTGTCCTGTATTCTTTTCCTTGTTTTATTTTTAAATAATTGCGCGCGCACACACACACACCATTATATCTTAGGAAAGAGTAAGTTCACTGATCCTCAGTGACTGAAGCTAGAAATTGTATTTAATGGCTACTTCAGTTTATACAGCATAACTTGTTGGTTGGACTGTGCCACACATGTGATGTCCAACTCTTTTATTTGAAACAGTAGATGAGTGAATGCAGGCATCCAATAACTACACGATCTAAATAGAGAGAAGAAACTTATTGTTCCTATAAAGCCTGGAAGGAAAATGTTGCTATAACACTTTAACTAGATTCCTTTGAGCTTCTTCTGCCAGCCCATGAGCCAAGGCCAATATATTTCTGCAACATTTTTACAAGCTCCTGAGAGTGGTCACATGTTTCATTTCTAGAAGTACCAGCTTCTGAAAATGATACTTTACAGCACTAAAGGCATAAATATCGCTCCCTAAAAAGCCACTTTCTTTCTGCCATGCTTCATGGCACCATGTTATAACGTTGCTGTTGTTTGGGGGGAATGCAACTATCAAAGAAAAAGCGTGTAATTAAACAACTGCACATCACCAACAACTGGAAAGGCTGGTATATTCATGATTTCCATTTCTAGCTCATTTCCCCAGGGCTCCCCCTTCCAGGACTTATGTCGTTTCCACCAAACCTTCCCTAGCCACATCTTAAGATTCTCCTCCATACGCAGTACCTCATTAAATCAGCTGCTGATGCTGTACCTTGGAGTAGGGACCAAGTCTTTACAAATGAATGCATCATAGTACCAAGGAAATTGTTACCTCCAAAGAGTTGTAAGTTTTACTGATCAAGCTTAGTGTGCTTTAAAATGCAGGAAAGCAAATACTGGGAGGAAGATGTAGAGTCCCTGGGAAAGTCAGAGTTGTCAGAAAGATGTGCTGCATCTTTTCATTTTCCAGTGCCACAGAAGCTGGTGGTGGGGAGGGGAATGTTTCTACCACCCAATTCTGGTGGAGGGCTGGCAGCAGCCTTCACTGGCATCTGCTCTGGGATTCTGTTTTCTGGCACTCCCATGGGTACCACATGGCTTAGAGCCATCTTTTACATTTATTGACATTCCTTGGGGTCCCTCCCAACCCTACGATTCTGTGTTTCTATGTTATGTTAGTATATACATTTATATACTGCAGAATAAGCCAATGTATCAAGGCAGTTAGCATAGCACATCCACAATACATAGCATAAAAGTAGTTAACCTCTGAAAAGCGATGCATAATTAGTTGTAGGTTGAGCTGTACATCATGAATTGTCTGTATTAAACTGAAGGGTCTTAAGCAACCATTTGAAGCAAGGTACTGATGGTTCTTCCTCAATATGAATGGACAAGGAGTTCCACAACCCAGGTGCAGACACACTGAATACCCTATTTGTTATAGAAGCAAGGCAAACATCATGTGTAACCCTTAATAGTATCTCTTCAGCTAAGCTTAATGTTTGGGCAGATATATATGGAGCAAGGCAGTCCCTCTGTTTAACTGCCTACAATACCCCAAAGCAGCACCCCCCCTCCCAATATATAGTGTCCGTCTGGGTCATACTGGGAATTGAAAATGGCACCCTATCCCCTGCCACAAGGAGAGGCACAGTGTCAACAGCCCCATAAACCTGCAGTTGGCTTTGTTCAGGTGGGGGGGGAGGAATGTGAATGATAAAAATGGTGAATAATTAGGTTTGAGATGCCATTATTGGCTCATCTATTTGACTATACTGGGAAATATAAATTGTAGCACAGATCTCTGGAATGAAACCCTGAAAACCTATGGGGAAATGATTTCCATTTCGGAAATGAAGATGAAGAGCTTGTGTACTACTTGCATGTAAACTAGGCATACAGCAAATTAGCTCCACATCCCAACCATCACCAGCATTCATACACAAGGGATTGCTGATTGCCTACAGTTAGCTGGTTAGAGCACGGTGCTGATAACACGAAGGTTGCAGGTTCGATCCCTGCATGGGACAGCTGCATTGCAGGGGTTGGACTAGATGTGCCTCAGGGTTGGACTAGATCTTCCAACCCTAAAGTTCTATGATCTTTCTCTCTTTCTATGTTTATGATCTTGTTGTTTCTAGTGGGTTTCCTCCATGTCATTAAGTTGTTTGACGCCAATCCTTTACTATTTTGATAGAAACCTAGATATGATCTACAACCCTGGCTGTGCATGTTCTTCCTATTTGCTTCCAAGAAGGGAAATCCAGCATGGAGAGAAGAGTTTCCAGATACCTGCTTTCCCCTGCCCTTTGAAAGAAAAGAGATCCCCTGCACACACAGAGCTCCATAGACTGTGAAAAGCCATCGGTGAAGCAAACAAGCCTTTAGCGTTCCATGTTGACAGTGCAGCAATTGAAAGATTTTTCACCATTTGCCTAAGACACAGCCCTTAATTGACAATGTTCAATTGTTCTTGTGGGGGAAACAAGATGATGCTTTAGACTAAAAGTGTACATGGTCGGCAGCTTAGACAAGCTAGCTGTGGTGCCTAGTAAAAATGATTAAAGATAAAGCTCCAGCTGTCAGTGGTAATTGGACTTTCATACGAAAGCTTAAAAAATGAGGAGAATGTTAGGTCAAAATAATCAATACTGAGTGAGAATAGAGATCTGGTTTGAGTGACGTTTGGAACGATCTGTCTCTGCTCCTGAAGAGAGGGAGAAATATGCAGCAAAAACTCCACTCAAATGGAAAGATTAATTGTATTGTTAATCAACCCTTTCCTCCTCTGGAATGACTCATTCTTTTCTATTGTTAAGAGCACATTAATCACTGCAGATACTGGGTTTTAGTGGAATTCAATTAACAATTAGCTGACGGTTGTAATGTATGTCCTCTAAAGTCATGTTTCCCCCTCCCTCTCCATCTACATTTCCTACTCTGTTCCCAACACAGTATGAAGATTACAGTTCAAAATCTATAAAAGGTGGGTGACAGTTGTACCTGGATTTTAGCACCAGATTAATAATAATAATAATAATAATAATAATTTACTATTTATACCCCACCCATCTGGCTGGTTTTCCCCAGCCACTCTGGGCGGCTTTCAACAAAATATTAAAATACAATGGTCCGTTAAACATTAAAAGCTTCCCTGAACAGCGCTGCCTTCAGATGTCTTCTAAAACTCTGGTAGTTGTTGTTCTCTTTGACATCTGGTGGGAGGGCATTCCACAGGGAGGGCGCCACTACCGAGAAGGCCCTCTGCCTGGTTCCCTGTAACTTGGCTTCTCGCAGTGAGGGAACCGCCAGAAGGCCCTCACCACTGGACCTCAGTGTCTGGGCAGAACGATGGGGGTGGAGACGCTCCTTCAGGTATACTGGACTGAGGCTCTTTAGGGCTTTAAAGGTCAGCACCAACACTTTGAACTGTGCTCAGAAACATACTGGGAGCCAATGTAGATCTTTCAAGACCGGTGTTATGTGGTCTCGGTGGCCTCTCCCAATCACCAGTCTAGCTGCCACATTCTGGATTAGTTGTAGTTTCCGGGTCACCTTCAAAGGTAGCCCCACATAGAGCGCATTGCAGTAATCCAAGTGAGAGATAACTAGAGCATGCACCACTCTGGCAAGACAGTCTGCGGGCAGGTAGGGTCTCAGCCTGCGTACCAGATAGAGCTGGTAAACAGCTGCCCTGGCCATAGAATTGACCTGCTCCTCCGTGGACAGCTGTGAGTCCAAAATGACTCCCAGGCTGCGCACCTGGTCCTTCAGGGGCACAATTACCCCATTCAGGACCTGGGAGTCCTCCACACCTGCCCACCTCCTGTCCCCCAAAAGCAGTACTTCTGTCTTGTCAGAATTTAACCTCAATCTGTTAGCCGCCATCCATCCTCCAACCACCTTCAGACAGATATTCAATTAAGGTAAATAACATAACTCACAATGTTTTTTACAATATGTTTCCATTTTATTTCAGTACTTTTACACTAGTCCATCAAAAAGGGGCAGCCAGTGTTTTTACCATGTGGTTTTCAGAAGCCGTTACCGTGAACTCTATTCTTTTCCATTGTAAAAGCAGTGTAGTGGCTGGTCCTTCTTCGTGGGCTATAAGCATAAAATTGCAGAAGTTATGAATCTGAAATTATGTCAGCTCCCAGATAATGATTCAGCACTTTTTCATTAGAGAATCCAATGTCTAGTATTGGCTAAGCAATATATTTTGCAGCTTTCATCTTTTATTTATTTCTCCATAATATTTCATAAGGGATATCAAGCTGCATGCAAACAATCATTTACAACACCCATTTACATAGGAGAAAACTAGGCATAACCCATTATGTCTGGAATGTAATGCAGTGTAGCGCTCTATAAAATGCTTTTTCATCAGGGCTGTAGGTTTGAGGAAGCTGAATGTCATGATACAACGGTTTTTATTTTTAATCAAAGGGTGGAGGCTGGCAGTTCGGATCCAGGCTAAACATATTTTATTCAACCTCGGCTCCCTGGTGTATTGCAGCGAAGTCAGCCATTAGCAATGTTCCAAGCCATATACCTCCCACTCTCCCCATTGGAAGATTTTTTTTATTTGTTTATTCAGTCATTATCTTCTGGATTGTATTTCATTTCTTCTTAAGGGCATAAGATGTGGTGCAGAATAGTGACAGGCTATTTGCTCTAAATTGTTTCATGCTGCTGAGCGTTAGATTAGCTGGGGCAAGGCCTCCTTTCTGATCTTTTTCCTATTCAATCCTATCAGATTTCATTTCAGAGCATGATGATATTTCAAGCTCATTGAGGACTTTAAATCAACAAAAATATGCATGCTGCTCTAGGTGTTTCATCTCTGGAGTTCAACTAAATAATGCGGCTTTGATTTATTGTTTGGGATATCCTAACTCAGCTGCTTCCATAGTCTTTGTGGTACTTCTCAGTATTTGCACACATTTCAGCTATCAAAGCAGATAAGGTTGCCCTTCCTGAATAAAAAAGGGGGGAGGGCATTGCCAATTTGCATATGTTTATGTGCACAGAGGTCTGTAGAGAATGACCTTAAGGTCCAAACCTCTTTTTGAACGGATTTCCCCCCCCCCCATGCAACTTCATTCAGCCAGTGCTCCATGGCCCTTGGATGGCCACACAGATCTTATCTTTACAAATGCCAACAGGAATTGAATTGGCCTGATCCACACTTGTCAGACTAGTGTGCAGATCGGAACTTACCTGTCTACTGGATTTTGCACTTCTGCACATGTTTTCAAGCATTTAACTGTATCAGATCACAAATTTTAAAATGTGGTTTTGAGATGAAATGAACTTTTAAATACACATTTAAATAGACGTATGAAAATTTTAACAACTGATTACTGCAGAAGTTGGAAAGAATCATGGGGAAAATATGCCAAAGTAAACCAGGGCAGAAGACGGCTCCCCTTTTCAGGGCAGCTGCATTGCGGGAAGCTATCCGGGACCTCCCAGTGACCCGGCTGTGGTCAGAGGGATGCTGCCCACGTCATTAGGACTCCCAGCCACGTCATGCCCCCTAGCTGACCAATCAGGTTAGCCGGGGGCATGGCTACATGCTGTTTAAACCTTGGCACGGCTGGGAGCAGCCTCAATTCATCCCCTCCGTCGGATCTCCCAGCCCACCCACCCTCTTTTTTTGTGTTGCTTGACTATGGCCTTGCTATGACCCATCTCAGTCGCCTGGTTGTTGGGGCTGGGTAGGAATTATTCCACCTGGCAAATTGGCACCAGCCATTTGGTTTCTGCCTACCTAATAGCTATCGTCAGAACTTTGTAAGGTTGGGCATTGGATAAGCCTTGTCACAGGAGGGCGGTTGTTGCCTCCGGCCTGCCCCTCCACGTTAAGGGTATCCCGTTAAAGGGATCCGGGGGTGTGGTTCCTGTCCAAAGCCTGGGCATGAGCATGGGCCATGCCATGACCCCATCAGTGACCCTGGGGGTGCTCTTAATTGATGTATATCATAGGGCTCCCCCTATCAGTGGTTGACCCTTTCGGGACTTCCTGCAGATGGGCAGGAGTCAGGATATAGTCTTGCTTCACCCAATTGCCTAAGCCAAACCGCTCACACCTGTAATCAATAAAGGCCTATTTTATCCCATTAACATATTCATGCCTGTGTGTTTATTTCTGAGGGAACTGTGGGGCCCAGGGCCTCGCCAGGCAAATAGATTTGTCAAGCCTGGGCATGGGGAACCTGCAACCCTCTGGATCTTGTTGGACTACAGTTCCCATCATCTCTGATCATTGGCCATACTGGCTAGGGTTGATGGGAGTTTGAATCCAGCAAAATCAAGAGGGCCACAGTTCGATTCCCCACTCCTGGTCTACCCCTATATAAAGCAGTGTCCCCTTTAAGTGATTTTTCACAGATTATGTAAGATTGTTTCTCCATGGAAGCTAAGGGCAATTAGTATTACTTGAGGGGGAACACCATCCATCGGCTTCATTTGCTTTCACTGATGTGATAATGTATCTAAATCTGACAAGGGTGGATCTACTGTGAAGCTAATGAAGGTTAAGCTTCAGGGCCCATAACCCTGGAGGAGCCCCAGAAACAAATCTTGCTTTAAAAAGTGCATCATGCATGTCTGTAACATTTCCCTAATTTCCCCTAATTTCCACCCCACCCCCAAAAAACTTGAAAACTATAGGGCAAAGGAATTTTTTATTCTCACCAGTGACTTTGACATGTGAAATAATCCAGTACTGCAGTTTTCATCAAAATCTGAGATGTACTGGTTAATTAAATAAAAATAAAAATTGTGGTGATCTGTCATGGAACAACCCCACTGAAGAACATAACAGTGGTTGCTGGTTGCGGAGGGGCCCCCGTAGCAGTTCAGGCTTCAGGGCTGCAAACTGAAGGGTCTATCACTGAAAACTGATTTCCTCCATAGACTTCTACAATGGCATTATGACATGAAAAGTTTTATCTTCAATTCTTTTCCTAAAGATCCCTAGCATTGAATTTGCCTTTTACACCACTGTTGAACACTGGGCTGA